TCACATCCTATTAGAATCCACAGTATTCATCAACAATATTAACTCCTAACAATGATTTTCATTTGATTTCATTTGCTGACTTCTTCAAAAATGGACCACTCACCTCGTGAGACACCTCGTGAGACAATTCCAATTATATGTCACTAGAAGCCCATCATTTCTTACAAGATGCCCAGACTTTTGAATTGTCTGAACAAGACCTTCTGGTGAGTACTAAATGAGGACATGTACACCGGATTCTCTGCATATCACAAAGCAGCACTGAGTCTTCTAAGTGCTCAGAAGGCTTGGTGTCATTTGCCATGTCTACTTTTTACTCTTTGATGAATGGTACATAGAGCCATTAGCACCAGCTGCTGCCCTTTAAATTGAACCCATATCCAGGTTATGGATATTGAATGATTTACATAATATTAACAAGCACTGTGAAGCAATTCATTCTCTAAGTTCATTCATTCATAGCAAAAGCGCTGAAACTGTTCAAGTCATTCTTTCAAGAGCTCAGCTCATCCTGCTCCTCTCCTAGCGGTGATTCAGCAGCCTTCCAACCTTCTAATCTCAAATATAGACCCATAGAAAATTCTCTGGCAGGGATAAGAAAGATCAGCCTTTTAGTGACTTAAAGCCCACCTCCATCCAAACATTGTTTTCAATATTGAAAGAGGGAGAACCTTTACTTGGTTTGCTTCTATTGCCTGTCCCCACTTTCAAGATTTTTCCTCAATGTAAGGACAGAAAGCAAGCACTTTTATTTGTATTTTGCACAATAAAAAAGAAAAGGTTTGAAACCTCCGTCAGGTGATTGGTATTGTTTGTGTCTTACTGTTTCAGTGAAAACATTTCCCCTCTTTTGAAGTCCTGCATCACAGGAAGTGAGGCAAAATCTCCTTAATGGGGTTGTGACCAGCAGTTGTAAATTGAGTTTTACTCTTCAAAATCTATCCAAAACCAAAAAGAAAACTTTGGGTTGGCATTAACCTCTTAAAGTGTTACTAAACCCAGGACCCTACATTCACTCTATCTCAGGGGCAGACTGACAACTCATGGGGCCCCTGGGCAATAGGGGATCATGGGGCCCCTGTGTCCTTGCCCAAACTCAAAAAAGCCTATGAAAAAGGTACCAGGGGCATCTCATGGGGCCCCCTAGTGACCCCGGGCCCTCGGGCAGTGCCCGAGTTTCCAAATGGTCAGTCCGCCCCTGCTCTATCTGGTCTCCCACAGTACACAGATCATGGAAATGCAAATATTGTAGTAAAGATAAACTGGTAAATACCTTTTCTCATCAGCAGTTAGAGCAGTCTTGTGACTTCTATCAGTGTCCAGCAGAGCACTGGTTAAAGCTTGTAGGAGGAGTTTTCTTTCTGCTCTAGGAGGATGCAAAATCCCTGACCTCTGTCTGGACAGTGCTGATTGGCTCTGTGCTGATCACATACACTCTCCCAAGAAAAAAAACAACTCTCTCTAGCAATACACACTAAACTGAGCATGTGCAGAGTGTCTCCACACATATATCTTATCATGAGATAAGAGGGAGACATTGGAAGAAGGGGAGGATCAGAGAAGTCAGGATCAAACAGCATTTATAAACAATGCAGAGGATTAACCCCTTTGGTTCCACAGTGAGTATAACAAGCATGCTTTACTGCATATACAGACTGATTTTACTGTTGTGGGTTTAGTAACAGTTTAAAGACCGCACGCCCCCATGTACTGCAGACAGTCAGTAGCTACAGGACCAGGGACATACTCATACGTCGCTGTGTTTTTTCGTGTTTGGAGTGAACATGCCCCCCCCCCCCAACCCCCACTGTCATTCACTGTAGGACATCTTTGTCAGCAGGTCCTGGCCAATGATTTTTAACCGGGACTCTGTTGATCTCCTGCAACGACTGGAGAAGCAGAGCTACGCCTGCACATTTGCACCCACACAATAGTTAGATAGATATTAAACCCTTGATTGCCATTTTTAACCCTTTGACCGCCGCAAATGTTAACGCCTTCCTACCCAGTGGTGTCATTAGTACAGTCTCAGGGCTATATATTAGCACTGATGACTGTATTACTGTCACTGGAGATGTCACCACAAAGTCACCAAAAGAAAGCTCTATTTGTGGGAAACAAAATTATACATTTAATTTATGTACAGCATTGCATGACGGCGCAATTGTCAGTTAAAGTAACGCAGTGCTGCATCGCAAAAAATGTTCTGGTCATGAAGGGGAGGGGGTAAATCTTCCGGAGGACAAGTGGACTTTAGGCATTTACAGTCTTTTTATTATTAGGCATGTAGATATTGTATGTGCAAACCTTTCCAAACTTTAATTCTTATAGATTTAACTACATGTAGGTTTAACTGTAAAAGCCATTTAGGCTGCAGTACAAAATATCCATTTGCATTACTAAAAACTAACATTGATAGGATCTGACTTAGTTTCCAGCTGACCAAATCTCTCAAAGCAATAGTGAATATATGTGATGTAATGGGAATGGTTTGATAAGGAAAAAGGGTTTTGCTTGTTTAAACCCAGTGAGGTTTAATAATTTGGGGATTTAGATGAGCATGTGAGCATATTGCCTAGTGAGTAGGATTAACAAGAATTTAGAAATCTCTGAACTTCTGTCGAGTAAGACTCCTTTGCCAAGATGTAAAGGGAACTGAACCGGGAAAACAACTTTTTGAAGTTGGAATATAATGTTTGTAAATGTTATTCAGTTAATTTGTAGCTGTGGGACTCCCGAGGCTACAACTTAGATTTCTACTCTATGCAGCTCAAACCTAATAGCTAAGAAAACGTGAACCTTAATTCATAAGTAGTCTAGTGAAACCATGCAAAACTTCAAAAAATTGTTACTGTATCTTCTGATTAAATTCGTCTTTCTGTAGATTTAAAAGACAGAGACAAGAAAAGATGTTTATAATGTTTATATGACATTGCCCTAAAAATGTGTAGTCATAACATTCATGAATATGTGTGTAGAAGTTTGGGCTTCTTATATAAGTCAGATTTTTATTCTAAAATTCTTATTTTAACCACTTCCCATCCGGCCCATGTACATAAATGGTCAGACAGGAGCAGTGCAGGAGCAGGGGGCCATTTATAAACGTCCTCCAGCATTCCCTGCCTGTGCATGCTCCCTGGGAGCGCATGGCTCTGCCAATCGCTGTACAGGACCTCCTGTGTGAAGTCCCGATCATGTGATCACTGATTGGCCAATCAGTGATCACATGAATAGTAGTAAGCAAGATGTCACTTACTGACATCATTGCTTACTACTAGTGAAATCGGTGAATGATCACAGAGGTCACATGGTACAAGGCTGTTCACAACAGCCTTGTACCATGTGACAAGCTGTGACCAGTCACAGCATTTCTCAATGGTTGCAAGAATGCAGCCAGAGAAAAAAAAAATCTTCATCACCCCCCACAAGTAGCACAGATAGGGTGACAGTATGTTAAATAAAAAAAACAAAAAACAAAATATAAATAAAATAAAACTGTAAAAAAAAGTTTTAAAAATTATAATTTTTGGTTATAAACTAATTTGGGTTATTTTTTTTTCTATTAAAAAGATAGCTGAATACATTTTGGCCAGGATTTATGAAGAAAGATAATTTGCAAAATTTTATAAAAAAAACACTTATTTTTCAAAATGTTTGAACTTTTTCATTTATATATCAAAAAAATAAAAATCCCAGTGGTGAATAAATGCCACCAAAATACAGTTTTATCTGTCTCAAAAAACTGCTAAAAAATTCATATGGGTACAGTGTTGCATGAACGCACAATTGTCATTCAAAGTGTGATAGCACTGAAAGCTGAAAATTGGCCTGGACAGGAAGGGGGTGAAAGTGTCCAGACCTGAAGTGGTTAATCTACTTTTATACCAGCTGTATTCTTCCCATTGTCACTCCAAAAAGAAAATACCTGCTTGATAATCTTGACTGGCTTACAGTGACAGTCTTTTCCTTTCTTTATCCTGGGCAAGTCATACTTACTCAGTTTATATCAGATACAATAAAACAGTTCACATACACCCTTTATTGCTATACTCACAAAAGTTCAAATCCTGTTGTGAGCACGTCTTCACCCGATTGCTGTTTGTCAAATAGTTTATGCAGACATTTTCAAGTTTGAAAATTTTGTGTCTGTCATTAACGACTTTCATTTTATACAAGTGTTTAACTTGGTTTGTATTTATTTGTATTATTTTTTACAGGTAGTTATATAGTGCTGTCAATTTACTCAGCACTTTACATATATATAGTTGTGTTCAAAATGATAGCAATGTGTTGAAAAAAGTGAATAAAGCTCAAAATCCTTGTAATAGCTTTTATTTCCATACACACAAATGCATTGGGAACACTACACATTCTATTCCAAATCAAAACATGAAGAAAAATATATCAAAGTTGTGTTGTTCTTCTAAAAAAAATTGAAGAAAAGTGAATATTAGTCTGTTCAAAAAAATAGCAGTGTTTGTATTCTTCTTTACAAACTCAAACATTCACTATATAAACTGAAAAATGTTTGAAGATTTTGCTTTCCTTTGAATCGCCTAATTAATATTTAGTTGCATAAGCACTGTTTCTGAGAACTGCTGCACATCTGTGTTGCATGGAGTCAACCAACTTCTGGCACCTGTGAACAGGTATTCCAGCCCAGGATGATTGGACTACATTCCACAGTTCTTCTCTATTTCTTGATTTTGCCTCAGAAACTGCATTTTTGATGTCACCCCACAAGTTTTCTATTGGATTAAGATCCGGGGATTGGGCTGGCCACTCCATAACGTCAATCTTGTTGGTCTGGAACCAAGATGTTGCACGTTTACTGGTGTGTTTGGGGTCGTTGTCTTGTTGGAACACCCATTTCAAGGGCATTTCCTCTTCAGCATAAGGCAGCATGACCTCTTCAAGTATTCTGATGTATTCAAACTGATCCATGATCCCTGGTATGCGATAAATAGGCCCAACACCGTAGTATGAGAAACATCCCCATATCATGATGCTTGCGTAACCATGCTTCACTGTCTTCACAGTGTACTGTGGCTTGAATTCGGTGTTTGGGGGTCGTCTGACAAATGGTCTCCGGCCACTAGACCCAAAAAGAACAATCTTACTTTCATCAGTCCACAAAATGTTGCACCATTTCTCTTTAGGCCAGTCAATGTGCTTTTTGGCAAATTGTAACCTCTTCAGCACATGTCTTTTTTTCAACAGTGGGACTTTGTGGGGGCTTCTTGCAGATAGCTTGGCTTCACATAGGTGTCTTCTAATTGTGACAGTACTCACAGGTAACTTTAGACCTTCTTTGATCTTCCTGGAGCTGATTGTTGGCTGAGTCCTTGCCATTGTGGCTATTCTTCTATCCATTCGAATGGTATTTTTTTTTTTGCTTTCTTCCACGTCTTTCAGGTTTTGGTTGCCATTTTAAAGCATTTGCGATCATTTTAGCTGAGCAGCCTATCATTTTCTGCACTTCTTTATATGTTTCCCCTCTCTAATCAACTTTTTAATCAAGGTACGCTGTTCTTCTGAACAATGTCTGGAACGACCCATTTTCCTCAGAATTTCAGAGAGAAATGCACTGTAACCAGCATGTACAACATTTGCTGCCTTCCTTCCTTAAATAAGGGCAATAATTGCCACCTGTCTTTCAAAGAATGAATGACCTCACTAATAGAACTCCACACTGCTATTATTTTAAACATGCCCCTTTCAATTAGTGATTCAGCAGCATGCATGTCATGACTGTTGGGTCTGTTGGATTTCTATTACTCTACTACACCTGCTAGTAAATTATTTGCCATGTAGAAATATAATTTCTACCAAAAACAGTGATTGATCAGGTTAGTGATGTCTGACTGCTATTATTTTGAACACAACTGTATATCGTACATTCACATCAGTCCCTAACCCTCAAGGGGCGTACAATCTAAGGTCCCTAACTCACATTCATACATACACATACTAGGGACAATTTAGACAGGATCCAATTAACCTACCAGCATGTTTTTGGAGTGTGGGAGGAAACCAGAGTACCTGGAGGAAACCCATGCAGGCACTGGGAGAATATGTAGGCAGGTGGTGTCATGGTTGGGATTCGAACAAATTACCCTTGTATTGCCAGGCGGAAGTGCTAACCATTTAGGCACTGTGCTGCCCCTGTTCAGTTTTCAATAGGCATTATGAGAGAACTTCACTTTCATTTAAAAAAATATGGCATATAAAATACAATTGCTACATAAGCCTCTTGAAATGAAATGTTACTGTAATTTTCTAACACTGTCAAAGAATTAAGCAATACAGCAACCTGGTACTGTATATGGAAAGCCCCCAAAAATGTAAGTTCCTGTATCTACGGCTGGTCAAATTATAGGCAACCCCTGCAAAATGAATCTCAGTTTTTGTGACATATCCCCCAATGCCTAATTACTTCTAAAGGGATGCCAAAATTGCAGTTTTCTTCAAAAGAACACTGGGATTTCACCAGGTAATTATACTGAACCAGACCTTCTCATTCAGGAATCAGCTATTTCTTCAGAACAAAAAAGAATCTCCAACAAAGAATATTTGCAATGTACATAGATCACCCTGGAAGGATTGTTTTTTCTTAGTAAAAGTGAATTTACACGTTAATAAGAAATTCATTTTCTTTACATTAACCCCTTTCCACTGGTGCCTCCTGGCCCTTCAAGGGGTTTTGATGCTGGGAGGTGGGGTTTATGATCATGTGACCACTGTGATTGGCTATCACAGCGGTCACGTGATCGGAAAGTAGCAATCAGAAGCTTTCCATTTGGCACCAGTAGCTGTTTCTGGAGCATGCACGGCGTGCCCTCTCGGCAAAGTCTGTTTACATTTTGGTCACAAATATGTTGCCTCTCAGCATCAAGGCCCAGCCACCGAGAGGCTGCATATTTGCGTACCCTCAGCACCAAGGAGTTAAACTTTTTTAGAATTATCAGCAACTATATAGTGCATGGGTTCACCTGATTATATGTTAGCTGACTAAACTGGTGGTGTCCAGGGCTCAGGGAGTAGCAGAGGGGCTCAGGGAGGCTCACAGGGATGATGTCACTGCATGGACTGGGTTTCCAAAATGGCACACGTTCGGAGCATTCTCACTCCTTCGTCAGGCCGATCGGCCTGACAAAGGAGTGAGCATGCTCCGAATGCTCACCATCTTGGAAACGTGCCATCTTGGAAACCCGGTCCATGCGGTGACATCATCCCTGCGAGCCTCCTTGTGTCCCTCTGCTACTCCCCGAGCCCTGGACACCACGGGAGTGGCGGGAAAACACCCAGAGCATGACCAAAGGACCTGATGCTCCCCCTGGACCTCCATCACTTGAGGTGCCTACCTGTTACCTATCTATGTGAGTGCAATTTTACCATTAAATCTGCCTGATTTTAACCATCTACACTTAAAGTGGCGCTGCTGTCTCTTTTCTCTACCTGCATTAGGATCTACAAGCTCTTACAGCCATCTGCCTCCTCAGCCAAGTCCATACTACTACAAGGCCCCCACTACAGATGGACTTGGACACCACCTCCACGTGGACCTTCTACTAACCTCCATTGCTGATGGTCCATCCTTAAATGCACACAGGGTAGATGTTTCTTAACGCTCCCTCCCTCCACTCACCTATCAACTATATTTCCCTAACTAACCACTTCAAGAACCCAACAGGTCAAAGAATATTGCAAGTAAGCTGACAAAGGCATGCCTTATGCCCTCTCCTCCAATGAGAAAAATTCTTTCACTGGTTACACGATTAGCATGATCCGTGAATGGGCGAGAGTCGTATCAGTCTCAAGGTGCTATTTCCCATTCACAGACCTTGTTACAGGCTATGTAGTCCGTGAAACAACTGTTTTCAGTGGAGGAGGGCGCAGTTATCTGTAGTGCAGCTATTCCCTGGACACCCAAAGCTGTTAACCGTCAGAGCACCAAAGGTTTAGCTGCAGGAAGAGGGCAGGGCAGCCCTGCAGGGAAGTTTTTCTTTACAGAACCCACATCATTGGACATACTGTACCTTACTACAGATAAGTAATGTAACAAACCTTATTCATTTATTCTGCAGTGACCTGTGGTTTACTGCACTGGAAGAATGCAGGTTGTGTCATGTGCATGTCATGTGAAGGCAATACACATCCATTTTTTAGCATTTTCATGCATTTAATGCATGTTTATGTGTGAATAGTCCCTTAAGCTGTAGAGGAAAAAGTATATTAAATAAACCTTTGAATATTTGGCAATGCAGCTTTTGATTCTTTTTTTGTCAAATTGTCTAAAAATAGATTATCCTTTGGTTCCTGGCCAGCACACAGTAGTGGCGTGGTTTCATTTGCTATTTCAAATCTGCAGCTTTCAATAAAATATAAAAGCCAACCAACTAACATGCAAGGATTACTGCAAGGATTGCCATTGCTTTTACTACAGTTGTTTACAAATGATAATGTGCCTGCTGCATTATGTGAAAAGTAGAAACATGTCATATCAGAGAAAGCACATTTCGATCCATTCATGAAGATCCTTGTTCAGGCACTTCCTGGTATAGAGTCATCCTGTCACATGGGCATTCGATGGAGACTGCAAGTAACCATTTCTTCAGCCATTATTCAGAAATGGCCCACTATTATCAATGTCGGGAATCCCTGCCTGTGAAATGCAATGCAGCCATCAATGGAACACATAAATGCAGACATGAGTTGGCTGCAAAAATAAAAATAAGGTGAAAACAAATTTTATTTGAAAAAATTTTGATACACAAAGCTTTAATCTACTAAATGTAATTTTACTTAGGGATTAACTACATCTACTTAAAAGATGAATGCCAGGCAGATATAAAAAGGCTCCAATGAATGCAGCTGTGTATTTTTATATAAAAATGCAATAAATAAGAATAAGTAATTGAATAGTACTTGATTTTAGTCTATTGTAATCCGCTGTACAGCAGCACATGGATTTTGAGACGGAAAGGTAGCACTAATAACGAATCAAGCCTTGTGCATTCACACGTGACAAGAAACATACTAGTAAAAAGGAGAAGGTTGAGTGATGACTTCATCAGGTGGTTGCTACTCTTTCACTCTCCACTGTCTTTCAGTGGAATAACGTCCTTACAGGATGTCTTCAACTTACAAGCCGACCTCAATGCACTGTTTAATTGGGCAACTATGTGACAAATGAGGTTTAATGTTGATAAATGTAAGGTTATGCACTTGGGGGCTAAGAATATGCATGCATCATACATACTAGGGGGGGTACAACTGGGGGAATCAATGGTGGAGGAGGATCTGGAAGTTCTGGTAGATCACAAGCTTAATAATGGCATGCAATGCCAAGCTGCGGTTTCTAAAGCAAGCAAAATCCTTTCTTGTAGTAAAAGAAGTATAGACTCCAGAGAGAGAGATTTTATCCCTGTACAAATCATTAGTAATACCTCATCTGGAGTATGCAGTTCAATTTTGGGCACCAATTCACAAAAAGAACATTGGGGAACTGGACAAAGTGCAGAGAAGAGCAACCAAACTGATAAGAGGCGTGGAGGAGCTCAGCTATGAGGAAAGATTAGAGGAACTGAATGTGTTATCTCTTGAGAAGAGGAGATTGAGGGGGATATGATCAACATGTATAAATATATAGTGGTTCATATACTGAACTTGGCGTAGAGATATTCACCCTGAAGTCATCACAGAGGACAAGGGGGCACTCTTTATGTCTGGAGGAAAAGAAATTTAATCTCCAAATAGGGAAAGGTTTCTTCACAATAAGAGCTGTGAAAATGTGGAATAGACTCCCTCAGGAGTTGGTTCTGGCCAGCTCGGTGGATTGCTTTAAAAAAGGCCTGGATTCTTTCTTGGATACACAGAATATAACTGGTTACTAACTTTATGGGTAAAGTTGATCCAGGTAATATCCTATTGCCTCTCCGGGGGATCAGGAAGGAATTTTTCCCCCTGCAGGAGCAAATTGGATCATGCTTTGCTGGGTTTTTTGCCTTCCTCTGGATTAACTGTGGGTGTAGGCGTATAACTTTTTTTTTTTTTTTTTATGGTTGAACTGGATGGGCTTGTGTCTTTTTTCGGCCAGACTAGCGATGTAACTTTGTAACAATGACAGGCTGGGGCAGGGATATGACTTTGCTTTGTTGCTTAACTGCAGCAGAAAAAAGTCAGGCCATTAGATTGCCTATCCTGTTTGGAATTGCTGTGTAGATCTGACGGCAGGGTGGACAATATTTTAACAGATAAAACACCTACTATGTATATAGTATGTATTTAAATGGTGTATTTATCTGTTTACCTGTATTTCAGCTTTAATTCAATAAATGTATAGCTTTCTGACTTGTCCAAAGAACAAAAGCAAGTTCACAGTATTTTTCACTATAGGGTCCTTAACAATATAATGTTACGCTTCATGTGTATTTTGGCAGCTTGTGTGGGCCTCTTTTTACCATTTAA